ATTATTTCTACCAAAATGGATATAAAAGAAGTAAAAGCTGCTATGGAATGCCTTAATTAATTTCATAGTAGATATCAACAGGTTCTTTATATTTGTTGAATGATTGATTAGTTTATTAATTCACTTATAAGGCAAAGTCATACACCTGTGACATAATGGTGAAAGCAAAAGAGCTTTATTCTCATAGAGTTTCCAAATAAAAATGACTTGTATGCACCCAATAAGAATTACAGATAATTTCATTTCCTGATCGATTTTTTTAGAAACAAATAGTAGTTCATGCTATTTATACACAGAATCTTGTTCACTCAATAATAATCCTTATTCAGATCCTATTGTGCTTACAACATTTTTCCAGGAAAACAAAACAGAAAAGAACTAGCAAACAAAAAACAGCACTTACTATTTGTGAACTTTCCTATCAAAATACACTCAAGGTTTCCAAGAGAAAAAAACCTTCCTAAAAGACACTAAAACAAATGATATTTATCCATGAAGGCTCATCATTTGATACATCTCCATAAAATGCTTTCAAATATTACCTCGCTTAATCCTCACAGTAAAATGAGGATGTGGGTCATATCTGCATTTTGCTTACAAAGGTAGTTCAATGAGGTGATACATTAAGTCATGGAGCTTAGAAGTGGTTTAAACATTTATAAGCATCACATTTACTTGGTTTACAAACCTGTGTTAATTTCTTTATTGCTTAATACCATTTTCACACATATGCTGGATCTGTTGTAGAGACAAATTTCCATAGAGTTCATCTTTGCGTTCTTAATCAATCAAGGCCAGGATGTACATCTTGTAGACAGAGAAAAAGAATACAAATGTTTTTCAGTGTCCTTAAGAGGTTATTGTCTCTATAGTATCGGAAAATCGGGAATTTTGTTCTTGGTAAAGGCCCCAACACATTCTTCTTTCTTTTCTATGTACGTTCAAGAGCCTATCTGTGTATTAGCCTTTGAAAATGCACCTCGAGCCACTGCTGCCACAGAGTAGTGACAATTTCTCACTGGCTTAGTTGATGATATGATTAAACCAATCTTCATTCCTCACCTAAGTATATTTTATTTTAAAGTAAGCTCTTCGGGCGCCTGAGTGGCTCAGTGGGTTAAGCCTCCGCCTTTGGCTCAGGTCATGATCTCAGTGTCCTGGGATTGAGTCCCGCATGGGGGGGGGGGGCGGTGTCTCTGCTCAGCGGGGAGCCTGCTTCCTCCCATCTCTCTCTGCCTGCCTCTCTGCCTGCTTGTGATCTTTGTCAAATAAATAAGTAAATTCTGAAAGTAAATAAATAAAGCAAGCTCTTCTTATTCAAGTGTAACAGTATGTGTAGGGGCAGTCATGTTGAATAGAGCATTAACGTATGGCTGAAGGAAAGAAATTCTTTCTGCATTTTATGTACAAGCTACAACAGGAAGCTTCTCTTTCTCTTTTGCTCTTGCTAGTCTAGTAGCCAATACAAGAACGTGGTCTGAAAATCACCACCCACTTCTGCAGCCAGATCTAAGATATCTCACTGTTTCTCTCTCATAAAATTATTAAATTATGTACTTTTTAGATGATTTATAATACACCTCTCTTTAATGCTGGTATTTCCAGACTGACCAAAACCACTTCTGAAGCCTTGTTTTGTTTACAGTTTTGCCCTTGCCTCTGATTTTTGTTTTGTTTTGTTTTTAAGGTTTTATTTATTTATTTATTTATTTATTATAGAGATTGAGAGGACAGGTGGGATGAGGGGCAGAGGGAGAAGCATCAAGGACTCTGATAGTATGAGAAGGATTTTTTGTGATATGAACTCAAGTCAAAATCAGTTTCAGGGTACCAGGACTTAATACTTTGGGAAAGCCCAATGACATTGCTCTTTCCCACTTCTCTGCAGTGTCTGGATCTCCTGTCTTTTCTCTGAATCAGATTTGCTTTATACCTCTGCCTCTTCCTGTTTAAATTCCTTCTTTGTGTTCAGCTTTCTTCAATTAACGTATAGTTATTATTAGAACAATTTATGCAAAATGGTCTGTTTCTTGTTTTTTTTTTTTTTTGGAGTTGTTTCTTGTTTTGATCACACAGTTGCAAGGGTTATATTTTAGCCCTTTAAGGTGTTCTTTTCACTGAATGGCATTTCCTTGGATGCTCTACAGTTTGGACCTGCATGATGTTATTAATAACTTCTATCATGTGCATGTGTATCTACAGGTTGTTATAACGTTTCACACCTTAGCACCATGTTCTACATACTCTGTTAACACATTGCACCCAGGAGAGATATGGCACTGTGTTTCCTGGACTCTTGGGCTTCATACATTCACATTCAATATACTCTTGAATCCACTCTTAAAAACAAAAACAAAAATAAAAACAAAAAACATTTATATTTTATTGAAACCATTCTTTTCAAGTTAGCTAATGCTGTCTATCTTCCCAAATCCAATCAACCCTTACTAACCTCACTCAGCCTCTTAATAGGATTTACTATAATTGTTCACTTGAAACAGTCTCCTTTCTTGGCTTCTGTGCCACCCATTCCCACGTTGCCTCCTCCCTTGGATCTCCCTCCCCTTTTCTACCACCTGGTCTTGTACCGATGCTGACATGCTTTAGGCTCAAAGGGTTGAGTGCTGTAGTACCCAATATTTCACTTTTCTCTTCCAGTTCTCTCCCAGATGAAGCCATGCTATCCACACAACCTTAAATTTAGGCTGATGCATCTCAAATACATATTCGCTGTTCTTGAGCTTGAACTCCACCCATTTTCAGTTCTCTGCTTTTTATTCCACATTTATCTAATTGGCTTCTAAGGCATAGTGTGTCAAAATCATTGATTTCTCCCCATTTTTTTTTCTCCCAAAGGGAGAAAATTTGTTTTTTTCTTCTACCTCTATCCAGCTCAGTAAACAGGCTTATCAATTACATGATAGATCAAGGACACATACACACACAAACACACAAAGCACACCAAAATGGAGTCCTTTGTAATCCCCCCCCTTACTAATGCCACTCCAATAAAAAGTTCTATAGGTTGTATCCAATAGATAGCATTATTTTTTTATGGTTCTGTCCATTTTCTTCCTTTTCCCACCTTTATTCAAGATGACATCATTTCTTCTCTGAATTGCTTTTAACTTTCTGCAATCTAAGAGTCAAAGTAGCCATGGTAGAGATGCCAGGGTGGTTCAGTTCGTTAAGGGTCCAGCTCTTGATTTTGGCTCAGGTCATGATCTAAGGTCATGATATTGAGGCCCACATCAGCCTCCATGCTCAGCATGGCATCTGCTTGAGACTCTCTCCCTCTCCCTCTGCCCCTATCCCTGCTCATGCTCTCTCTCTCTCTCACACATAAATAAAATCTCCAAAGTAGCCACTGTGATTTTTCCAGGATATAATTAAGTATGTTATTTCCTTTGCTTAAAAATTCCCCCATTTTTTTTTTTTTTTAAAAGATAAGAACTCTTTAGCATGTGCTGCATGGATTGCTTGTTCTACCCCTGGCCGCATACCACATCCTTTTAGCCTAGCCACATTGAAACATACATTGGTTTCTAGACCAAATCAAGCTCTTTCTTTAATTTGGATATTTTCACTTTGGTTTCCTGGATTTCAAATATTCTTCCCCTAGTACTTTGTGCCTAATCAGTTCATTTTTGTTCTGCAGGTCTAGATAAAATGTTACTTACACTGAGGTTAAGGAAGAAGGGAGAAATAATAGAGATTTAAGGAAAGGAGGAAACACTTCCTTCAATAGTTCTGGAAATAGTTTGGAACATTTCTAGAGCATATGGTTATTGTTTGCTATATTTTAAATTCATATTTATGTTAATAAACGGTTGGATAATGTAAAACTCTAAAACTTAGGGGTAGTGAAGTAAGCAATTAAAGAAAGAAAGAAAAGAAATGAATAATTTATAAGCATAGTGCATGTGTCTGAGTTAGTTGAAGATCAGCTAAACTAGGCTGGCTTTTGTTTGCCAGCTCTGCTTAACTCCAGTGCATTCCGTCATGCACCTGCTCAGTTTCCTAGGTAGCTCTCCTTTAGGATGGGATTCCTAAACTGGGACAACTTTGTCCTTGTGTCTCTCATCTTCCTTCTGGCTCCAGCATGTTCTTTTTGTATCAGTGGCAGGGCATAAGAAAAAATAGGCAAAGTCCTATGAAACCTTGGCCCAAATATGGAACAGGACACCATCATTTCCAATGATGATGATCACTTTCAATCACTTTTCATCTCATTCTGATTTTTAAAAGTTTTTTTTTTTTTTTTTTTTTAATTCCAGCTAGTTAACTTACAGAGTGATATTAGTTTCAGGTGTACAGTTTAGTGGTTTGACACCTACACACACTCAGGGCTCATCTCTTTGCTAAAGAGGGCTGGAGGCAAAATCTGGCAAGAGAAATCCCTGCAATTGGAGAGGGAAAATGATTTGTGGCCAGTAATGCAACCTACCTCTCATTTAGTTGTTTTCTCATTTTCTCTCTCAACAAGGGGGCTAAGGTGATGCACATACAATGGTAATTAATTGAAATGTTTTGGTTTTTATTTTATATTTATCTTCAAATCTCAGCTATAATGAAATTCCAGGATAAACTAATCTCTGACATCTTCTATTTTCCTAAAAATTTTGCACATATAGCAATGAGAATTTTCATTTTTTTTTTTCCAAAGTACTATAGACTTCCCTGAGTCCTACTAATATTTAGTTATTAATCCCAATGTTCCTATCGCCTACTGTTCTATTCATGGAATTCAAAAGGTATTTTTTTAAAATTTGAGTTAGTAATTTAATTAAACATTAATTAGGAGTTAACAGATAAAAATAATTTATGTCAGTTCTATGCAAATATAAAGTTGCCAAGCAAATCTTAGGAGGCAAACATAGAAACTAAAAATATACATTTAAATATTTGAATATGTCTGATTTAATATTGCTGTTGTCTTAGTTTCACTTTCTTCATTATACAATCAAGTGAAAAGAAGAGTTATCTGTTTTTTTCCCAAGGTACTTCATTGACTACAGTGCTGAAGATGAAAGATGTTTCAACATTGATGCCAATACTGGAACCATTAGGACTACAAAGGTCCTTGATAGAGAAGAAACTCCATGGTACAACATCACAGTGGCTGCCTCAGAAAATGGTATACTACTTTATGTCTCCTTAAAAAAAAAATGTCACTTGTACATAAAGATTTATACCAAGTTTTTTCTCGGGAGCGGGACTCTCACCCTTTTTATTTGTGGCGCTGGCATCCAGCATCTCACAGAGTGTACAAAACATATTAGATGCAGTTACTCATTGTCAGATGCAATGAATAAATCTTTTTTTTTTTTTTTACTTTAATCCCAGCATACTGGTGGAAAATTGACATCACAGAACACTTCAACCCCATCCCTGAGTCTAAAGTATCTGGTTTGCCTCATAATTGTGAGGCTTGCTCTGTGTTTTTTTTTTTTTTCCCATTGCTTGCCTACCATGAAAAAAAAAAAAATTCTGTGAGCATTAATATGAAAGCTTTTTGTAGACATGTTTTTATTTCTCCTGGGTATATACCCTGAAGTGAGATAGCTCAGTCATATAGAAACTCTGTATTTAATTATTTGATGAACTGCCAGACTGTTTCCAAAGTAGCTGCATTTTACATTTGTAAAAGCAGTGGAGGGTTCCAGGTTCTCTGTATGATTACGAGTATTTGTTATATATCTTTTGATTATAATCATTCTAGTGGGTGTGGGGTGACAACTCCTTATAGTTTATGCACTTTCATAATGTCCTCTGTTACCAATCAATAATTAGACTACTCTAGCCTTTTATAACCTGCCTATATTTTTATGTTTTTACATCTGCAAAATTAGCTCAAGTGGCTTCCATTTAGATAATTTTTTCAACATAATATTCTCTTTGAAAATAAGCATACACTAATTACTTTTAAATGACTGTTATAAAGAATACATGAGTGGGTTCATTTATGATCATTCTGGTTAATTTTCATTTTCAAAATAACCAGACTAGGAATAGAATTGCATGCTTTTTGTCACCTAATGACAATTAAATGATTGTCAAATGATAAGTGCTGATTCAATATTAGTTAAAAAAATAAAGGAATTAATAGGTTAATATATCCAAGAAATGGGAAGAGCATTGAAAAGATTCAGAAAAGATTATGCACTATTGGGGAACAGGCTCTGTGTATAGAAGACTGAAGGGAAGAATCCCTGGAGAAAATGGTATTTGTGAGAAAAAAAAAAACAGAAACTTACTTTAAAAGAAGCTCAAATGTAATTCCAGAGGTATTTCAACCAGAAACCATACTTTAGATTGCTTCTAAATCTCATCTTAGTCCAAATAATATTTGCATCAAATAGAAACTAATTTGTGACTATACATGAGTTCATATATACAATGAAAAGTATATTATTTGCAATGATCACCAAAGGAAATGCTCCTTTTTACTTAAATCACATCTTAAATATATACTTAATAAGTTATTTTTATTTTTTTGTTAGTACTGCATATGGGGAATGGTTAATACCTATCTATTAAGTAAAGCAGTATAGTAGATCGTATTGTACTGGATTATATAGAGGATAATTTAAAAAAATAAAAAAGCCTTAGGGACACCTCAATTAAACATTAGTAAAAATAATGTAAAAATAATGATTTTTACTATTACTGATTATTAATAGGTATGTAGAAAGAATGAGCAGTAGATAAGGTTTTATAGCCATGCTGGAGACTTGCTTAGGAAGTGTGCATTCATACACTGATTGCCTGGCAAAAGTGTCTTATTGAACATCACTGGGGGCCCTTCTAGGTACAGTTGCTTGTAAACATTAATCTCAAATTCAGCCACACTAGCAAAGTATTTACTAATATATCCTGTTTTGGAAATGTACTTGATATTTTTTATAAATGATTTTTTTAAGACCTTATTATTTATTTTTTTTTTTTGTAGAGCAATTTTAGGTCTACAGTAAAATTAAGAAGTAGGCACAGAGAGTTTCCAAATAGCCCCCACACCTACACGTGCATTACACCACCCTCCATTATCAACACCCTCCACCCGAGTGATGTACTTGTCACACCTTTGACACATCATCATCACCCAATGTTTGTAGGTTATAACCACCCAACGGTTGTAGGTTAGTTTTGTGGTGTTCTGTGTTTAGATGAAAGTATGGTTGTATGTTTTCATTATTATAGTATCATGCATAGTATTTTCCCTGCACTAAAAACCCTATGTGTACTGCTCATCCATCTCTACTTACCCTGACGTCTAGTAACCAGATTTTTTTACTCAAACAATAGTTTTTCCTTTTCTGGAATGTCATTTAGTTTTAATTACATAGTGTATACCCTTTAAGATTGGCCTTTTCCATTAGTAGTAAGCACACTTAAAGATTTTTCATGTCTTTTTATAGCATACATACTGAAGGACATCTTGGTTGTTTCCAAGTTTTGGCAATTATGAATAAACTACTGCAGCAAAAACATTCATGTGTAGGCTTTTATATGGATGGAAGTTTTCAGTTCTTTCAGGTAATACCAAGGACTGAAATTAGTGAATCAAACGGTAAGGGTATATTTAGCTTTGTAAGAAACTGACAAAGTGTTTTCCAGGGTCTATAGCATTTTGCATTCTCCCCAGCAATGAGTGAGAGTTCCTGTTTCTCCACATCCTCCTCAGCCTTTGCTGCTGTTAGCGTTCCCCAGATTTGGGTGACTCTGTGGTATAGAGTGCTATCTCATCTCTTTAGTTTGCTTTCCTCCGATGACACATATATATAGAACATCTTTTCATACACTTATTTGCCATCTGTATGTCTTCTTTGATGAGGTGTCTGTTAAGGTCCTTGGCCCACTCTTGATTTTGGTTTTGTTTTCTCATCAGTAAACTTTAAGAGTTCTTTATATATTTTAGAAAAGAGTCCTTTAGATTTGTATTTTACAAGTATTTTCTCCCATAGTATGTCTTGTTTCTTCATTCATTTGACGTTATCTTTTGCAGAATTGAAATCAGGTTTTTAAAACTCTTCTTAATGTAAGTTTCTGAGGAACTTGGTGTTCTATGGAATGACATTTAGAAGTTAATATTTCAAAGAACTTTTTTTGGCTTACCTAGACTGTTGTGCAAGTAAGAGAAAGGTGCCCCCTTCTGGGCAGATGAAGCAATGAAGCAGGGTTTAAGAGAAAATAAAAAACAGAGGAGTTCTGTATACAGAAAAACAAATAAACAAAAAAACCCTTCCTCCAAGTAAATGGGCCACATGCTAAGGGACCAATGTGAGAATACGGGGTATCATCAAAAAACTGTGTGGGCCTCTGAACATGTACAAATACAGTGCGGCTCTTATTTACATGGTGTTTTAAGATTTTAATTTATTTATTTGACAGAGAGAGAGAGAGATTACAATTAGGCAGAGAGACAGGCAGAGAGAGAGGGGGAAGCAGACTCCCTGATGAGCAGAGAACCCAATGAGGGGCTCTATCCTAGGACCCTGAGATTATGACCTGAGTCAAAGGTAGAGGCTTTTCCCAAGGAGCCACCCAGGCACCCCTACATGGTGTTTGACTCTGCTTTCTTTTATCCTTTGGTTCTATGTCCAAGTGACTATTCAGCTGCCCAATCATATGGTAAAGGCTGAAAACATGTGTCTGGTCTATGACATCCTTCCTCCTTCCCTGTTACCGGTAAACATAGCTGATTGCTATCTTGTTTTTGTACTGTGTGCTTTTACAGAAATATCATCCTAATAAAAATCTCTGAAATAGAGAGGACAGGTATTATTTTAATTTTATAGATAAGGAAATTGAGACTCATACAAAATATGAATCTAAATATTTTGGCTCCTAGATCTATGCTCTTCCTAATATGACTCTTAAGGGAAGCTGATATTCATTGAATCCAGGTTTGGGTCACATATTTTAACTAATTGAGGTTTATTTTATTATTAATTCATTCTGTGGCAGAAGATTATTTCTACAATTTTAATGAAGACACTAAGAATCAGATGAATTCAATAAACTACCTTTGATTAGAGAAGTAAAAAGTGTATTCTTATCCCTATCACAGTTCTTGATGAAGAAAGTTTTTAAAATAAATACCTGAAATGTTTTTGTTACAGATAGCAATGCCTTCCCTCCATGTAATCTGTAATTTAGCTATTTAGATATTTCTTACATTTCTGGTTTTGAGTAACAAATAACCACATGATTTCTGTAGGTCAGAGGTTCAGGTAGGTTCAATTGGATTCCTTGCTTAAGGTCTGGCAAGACTGAAGTCCTGTGTCAGCTGGGCTGGGCTCTTACCTAGAGACTCTGGGGAAGAAACTGCTTTAATGTGCCTTCTTCTTGTTGCCTGAGTCTACTTCCTTTAGATGTAGTTACACTGAGCGAAATAAGTCAATCAGAGAAAAACAATTATCATATGCTCTCCCGGATATGATGAATTTGAGAGACAGGGTGGGGGACTTGGGGGCGTAGGGAAGGAAAACATGAAACAAGATGAAATTGGGAGGGAGACAAACCATAAGAGACGCTTAATCTCACAAAACAAACTGAGGGTTGCTGGGGGGAAGGGGGGTTGTGGAGAGGGTGGTAGGGTTATGGACACTGGGGAGGGTATGTGCTGCGGTGAGTGTTGTGAAATGTGTAAGCCTGATGAGTCACAGACCTGTACCCCTGGGGTGAATAATACATTATATGTTAGTAAAAATAATTAATAAAAAAATTTTTTTTAAAGTTTAGTTTTGAAGTCCCCATTTTCATCCCTTGTCAGCTGGGGCAGCTTTCTCCTCCTAGAGGCTGCCTACATTTCTCCTCATGTGGTTTTTACCTCCTTCAAACAAACAATAGTGTGTCAAGTCCTTTTGCTGTTTTGAATCTCTTTGACTTTCTCTTCTGTTACCAGCTGGAAAGTCTTGCTTTCAAATGTATCTACCTGGGCTGCCTGGGTGGCTCAGTTGGTTAAGCATTCACCTCTTGATTTCACTCAGATCATGACCTTAGGGACTGAGCCCCATATCCATTGAGCCTGCTTAGGATTCTCTCTCTCCATCTCCCTCTGCCCCTCCCCACCCTGCACCTGCTCATGCATGCTCTTTCTCTAAAAAAGTAAAAAAGAAAAAAGAAAAATAAAGG